TGAAATGCCATTTAATTATGATTGTGGAATGTAGGACATAAAAGGAGCTTGTTTGCTCATTGCTTATAATGTGGGAGTCTAAATTTGACTTGGCTATAAAGAGGGGCAAAAGTGGGATTTACTCAATCTTAAGAGCATGAAGTCTTATGTGGCACAAATTAATCAAAGTTTAGCACTAAATGTGAAGTCCCTACCCTATATGGTAAGGGTACTACTTTTAAGCATGTGGCACTCTTTAATACATGAGAGCAACTTGTAAACTACAAACTTTAACCACACCAATTTCAAATTAGTACAACTATTATTACCACAAGTACAACATCATCAATACCTATCTATGCATCCTTTATTGTGGGTAATTATGTATGACTTAAACCATTCCACAAAAGAGTTGTGACAAGTGACCTATCAAAAGGATGTTTTTGTGCTATTTCTCAAGACCCCATATGTTGTTTTCAAGTAAATAGTTAGGGCTGGTGTTTATTTTTCATTTGATCGAGCAGGGGTTAAGGGTCAGGACATACATGATTTTCTAGAATTAGTTAAACTGGGAGATGTAACTTATTGTTGTTATGATGAGTTTTATGGTGTAAAACAATGTAACTTATTGAGCCTTTTGTTTTCTGAAACAAAACGTATGAAACCTTGATAGAACGATTGTTCGTCAAGAGAAAACTATGTCAATCTTATTCCAGGGTGGTTGTTGCTTTTAGAAACTCTAGGGTTTGCGGTGATGTTGCATTCGTACGCATTATAGCCCTGATGAGTCATGCAATGTAATTTATTGATGCTACCAAAAGCCTACAAGCTATTATGCCCCTGTATTAATTGTATGCAGTCAGTATTCGTCATACAATATGCTTTATGGCTGCTATTAGAAGACCTAAGGACCATATTGCTCCAATATTCAAATGTGTTGTGGTTGTGACAGAGTCGTTAGATTAAATTGTTGTGGCTCTCGAAAGAAATAGGACTTCAACGTTGTTGTATTCAAAAGCATTTATAGGCATTACAAGTTGAATGGTATAATTCATATGGTACTTTCGAAAACCCTAAGGCCTATAGTACTCCATATTCAATTAATCTTCAATGACTAATACTTAGATGTCTATATGTATTCCGTTAAACCAGTAACAACAATGGTCCCACACAAAACATTTTCAAATGACTTTGCGTGTTAATACCCCAAATAAAACTGTATTTACCTTCCTTCAGACGGTACATAGTATTTCACAATTGTTTCTCTTTCAAAAAAACCATATATTCGTTATTGTTGACGAAAAACGCATCAGCTACCTGCATATCATAAGTCATATTGAATAATGGCTCATAATTCACAAGACCTTTTATCCAATGTAACTTTAACGAGTCGGAAGGGTACGTATAAAGTAGTTAATATCTTCAGTCCCTATAAATTCATTAAATCCAAGAAAAACTGCAAACCTATACCAAATACAAGAAGTAGAGGCAACATGTCACAACCTCAGTTCTTTTTTCTTTTTCTTTTTTTTGATTAACTTGGATATCCAACCCGCTATGCGAGTCGACTAATCTCAGGACGACCACCTGCTTTGCAGATAGCCCGGAGTCACCGTATTTGAATCTTTGTATTCGTTATGTTTATATTCGATGAAAAATAAATAAAATTATTTATGACAAAAAAAATGATGTATAACAATTTGAAAGTGACAAATGTACTAGTAAAATATGGTAGGGGCTTGGATCATTCACCCTTTTAGCATATAGGGTGGTCTTTATAATAGTTAGGGCCAATAAAGAGGTACATTAAGATTGGGGCTTAAAGTGTAATTTGTGGGGTCTAGGCCTAAAATATTTCATGTGCCATATTTATCTACAACATAAAATTTTTAATTAAATTTTGAATGGTTTTGAAAATGACCAAATTATCCTAAAAAAATAGGAAAGCAAATTAAAAATATTCCCATGTGAGTTTCTGATTATAATCATCAAAATACTGCATAAAAAGTAGCATACTTTAACTTGATTCTTATTTTAGGTAACGTATTTTCAATACTTTCATTTTGATATCTAAGATGTAAAGTTTTAAACATTTAAGTATCCAAATGAATGTGGTTTACTTAGAATACACATTTTGCTATAGTTGTAAAATTGAAATGACTAGTTGTCCATAAGTGATTATTGATTCACTCTTCTTTTATAAGAATATATATATAATGGATATAAATAACTACATTATAAAAGACAATGATTAGATAAATAATGTCAACAAGGAAATTTATGTCTATTTTAAAATGTGTTATATTTATTTCTAGATATTATATATATATATATATATATGGGACCCATAAAATTATGATAACTTTAAGAACAAATGCATCATGTGTTATTTCATATGTTAGAAGTGTTCGAACCTTTTTCTTGAGTTTTTTTATTTATAAAGTCAAAGGAGGTCACTCAGTTTCTTTCTCCCCTGTTTCTCATTGGTGAATCAGTTAATGGAAGATTTTTTAAGCTAATACTAGAATTTTGAATATCAATTAATATATATTTGTTTTACAGTATAAATGATATATATAATAAACATATTATAAAATAAATATGGATAATAAAATAAAATAGATAAAAAATAGAAAACCTAGAAATAAGAGTGGAGCCAAGTTGGATGTATTTCCACGTGACATCCTTTGTGTGGGCCAATAACCCCATCTTCCAACTGTAAAGGAGAGAGAAGCCTTGTCGATCCCATCCCATTTAATCTTTTTTTTTTTAATTAATTTTTTATTTTTATTAACATATATTCGTTTGATTTATCTAGTTTAAACGGTAAAAAACTAGATGAATCAAACGAACTTTACGAAATGCCTTTCAATTAAAAGCATACTCGTGTGGATAATGTTCCACATATCATACAGAATACACATTGTTCATTAAAAATGAAACATACAATCACAAGTATGTTGATTTTAAACATTGCACACATATTAATATTATATATCTATACTATATTATAAAACATTTGACAAAAACTCTTAAAAACCATTTTTTATGTGTAAAGTACTGTTTATTAATGCATATTACTTAAAACTCAAGATTACAAGTAGATAGTGCGTAAGTACAACTTATTAAAGCTCTATATCTGAATTCGTGCAACAAACCGAAGATAAACATAATCAAATACAGGATAAATATCTCATTTTAAATATAAAAAATCTAAAATATAATTAGGATAATCATTAAGTTCTAACAGAATACTTAATTATTATCTTTATAAAATGTTATATTATTAAACCAAAAATAAATTATAATAAAAAATAAATTAAAAAAATTACATAAAAAATGAAAAATTTTAAATAGTTGATTTGATATTAACATTGATATATTTTTTTTCAAATTTTCATGATATTTTCAAATTTATATTTTATTCAAAAATAAAATCATTATTGTTTTCTTAAAAACACATAAAATCATATTATAATATCGACAGAGACAAATAATAAAATAGAACATTGTAATCGAGATGTGTCTCGCTGCATTGCACGAGTACTCTTCTAGTTGTATTAAACATACATAGGAGAATATAAGTTAAGATGAAAAGCGTAAGAAATGAATTGAACCCTTTGATCACTTTAATTATTGTTGATCTAATGGTTCAGATTAAGTTTCAAAATAACCCATGAATTAACCTAGAGAGGTATTTTCAATTGATTTTTAATTAAGATTGATCCAATTGTGCAAATCCTTTTTTACCCTTTCAAACGATAGACGAAGGATTATGTGAGAATACGAGTTAAGGTGACAAACATAAGAAGATATCTGAACCTTTGAGCACCTTTAATCTCAAACTCACTCATGAATCGTGCTTGATACGGTGCATCTCATCCTAATGTGCATCCAATGGTGGAGATCTCTTCCTACGATTCTCATCGGAACCCAACTCTCTCACGGTACCCTATTATTTTTACTAGAAACCAACCAACTCTATACATACAACCGTTAACCGAAAAGGTTCTACTTTTGTCGATTAGTATACACAAACACATTCACAAGCAGAAATGAAGCAGGCATAAGTTGAGGGTCTCAATTCAGGTGAAAAGCAAATCGCTTTTACAAGATAGGCTCAATTTTCTTTTTGAATTATATAATACTCGTATATGGCCCAAATTATTTTCTTAAATGGCAAATACACACGTACACTACTCAGGTTGTAACCGTTGGGTCAATGACCGTTTGATCAAATTATAGGCATGAAATATACCACTATGAAAGAGAGATTTTGTCATGCCATTTGCATTGTACAGTAAATCAAATCAGATACAACCAGTATATCCCACTCAAAGTAGGGTGTAGGGTGTAGGATGTAGGATGTGAGGAATGTATGATTTACAGACTTTTTCTCTATCCCAAAAAAAGAAAAGGTGTTTCCATAAAAACCATGTGCATTATATAGTGCATATCGTATACCCCTTATTTGCAGCACATGTTGGTCCACAAAAATACAAACCAAGGGCAATACACCCTACACGATACGGAGTGAACATGTATTCACAACACATTTAGGTCTACCTACCCACCTGTGTCAGTTTCAGGTGGAGAACCTTTGCACGCCTCTGTCACCTTTTGGGTCTCACGACGTGCTGAACCCAGCTCACGTACCGCTTTAATGGGCGAACAATCCAACCCTAGGAACATACTACATCCCCAATGGAAACATCTTATCTACTTCTACGGATCAAGAAAATGTGGCATACATCTTACTTTTCCCAGACCCCACTCCATGTGGATTCATTTGATTTGATGTATAATGTATTCACAACAAATGGGTCGGACCATAGGTGCCTGATACCTCTACTAGTACACATAGAGCATCAATATGGATAAATTTGTGCTTATTTCCTTCTTAAGTATGCAAATCTAACAAATGAAACATATATCATAGACAACGGCCAGTATACTTTATAATTTCTTTGCTTTTTAGGAAACCGACAAAGCGGATCCAAACCCACGAGCGCTAAGCCAAATAGTGTTTAAGCCATCTTTCATACACTTCCTTGTTGTTCTAACATACATAACACTATTACTTCAATATAAAACCAAATAAGTAACAAGAAGGAGATCTTGCACATTTGATGCATACAAGAATTTCCCTATGAATAACTTACATACCATAACAAGATTGAATCTAGAGAAGTACCTATTGTGTCAATGGGACGATGACGATAATGTCCAATGAGTTTTTGTAGCCACTAGGATCCGCTCCCTTCCTTGTGATTCCGGTTCCTTATCGTGTATGGTCGATTTCCATCTTACAGAACCAGATATTCGATCTATTTTTGCAATCGATTCAGGGGAATCACGAACCACAACTGTTCCTTCGGGCCGCAATAATCGGTCCATCTCCACCATTACATCCACAAGATTACATCTGCAACAAACCCATCATCCGGTTTATACACAAATGTTCCTAGAAACATTTTAAGGGGATATAATTTTAGTGGCTCGTTTGCAATGGATTTGCATTGGAAAGCCAAGTGTGATGGTGCAAAAAGTCAATCGCACAATTTTTAAGTGGTGTAGGAGTAGAACCTTCGAGGATGATGGTGTATCGTGGAACAAGCATCAAGCACATCTATTTAAGGCCAGCACTAGCCTGTGGTTACGGTGAAACTTTTCCGTGATTTTAGTGTTTTCAAGTGATATAGCAGCTTTAGGTATCTCCGAGGACAAGATCTCTGATAGGTGCTATTGAAGATGGAGGACCAGGGTAGGAGTCAGGGTGGATATCTATAGCTAGCGTAGTTGGGAGAGGGTCCGGCAAGGTAGAGGGTGGGAGATTTCTCTTTATCAGGGTAGAGGTCCCGTCAACCTACATCTCCCCCACCCCCCAACCCCCACTCAGGGGGAACCTACCTCCAGGTGGGACATATTGGGCTTGTTCGGTTATGGTGTTTTCAGGTGATATTCGAGAGGTGGAAGGATAAGAAAAAAAAGGTTGTTTAAGGTGCTTAAAACAAAATGAAATTTTGAAAAGAAGACAGATAGCATGCTTGAGCATTGTAGATGGTCTCTTGTGAGAAAAGCTGCGATCTTTTGGATGTCGATGCTTCAGCATTTGTAGATAGTCTCTTGTCGGAAAAGCTGCAATGTAAAAGGAGTCACCTTGAAGCATCGACATCCAAACGATTGCTATTTTCGAAGAGACTATCTACAATGCTGAATGAGGCATTTCACTAGGTCCCGTTTGGTTTGTAGGATTGGATAGGATTTCGAGGGATTTGGAATTCGATTTCATTCAAAATCCATGTTTGGTTTGGAAGATTGCTTGAATTTGAAATCCCACAAACATGGGATTTAGAAGTCCCACAAACATGGGAAAGAAATTCACTATTTATGTAGTTTGGTTGAGCAGGTAAAAAGCAGTAGCATAGCCCGCGTCTGAGCTCCAGTAGACAGCGAGACAGCCATTGTGGTAAAGGGGGGCGAAGGAAAATGAAATCTGAAATAAATATATGCTTTGGGAGTGTGAGATGGGACCATGAGGATTGTTGGTATTCACGGGATTTCGTAGGATTTGTGTGTAATAATGTTTTAAAATATGTTGAAAACATTTATTTTGTAATAATCACTTAATAAAAAAGTAAATTAATTATTTTTATGATTACATACAATTTGTGTTTATAAAAATGGAATTCAGTTCCTTTTTAAATCCTACAAACCAAAGATTCCAAATTTTTCCAAATCCAAATGCCTTCAATTCCAAATCCCTCCATGAAATCCAAATCCCTCAAAACCATTCCATCAAACCAAACACCTCCTAAGTGTTCAGCCAGGAGCACAAGTCCTCTTACCTAAGTTAGAAATCTAGTTCGTGCTTTTGTAAGATAAGAAACACTCTCCAAAGTTAACAGTAACATAGTGGACACATGATAAGAAGTTCCATAAACTTCATGAGATGCTGATGATTCAATTAAGAAGTCTTAAATTGTAGTAAACAGCAGCAAGTTACCTGTTCTTGCCAGTAACTGGATCCTTTATGAGGGATTCAATTGCAACCACATGAATGAAGTCATAAGTTCGAGGGTAACTTGAGAAAGGTTCACACCTGGGAGTCAGAAGAAAATGATATGAAATTGTGTCGAGATAAAAGGTGAATACAACGGTTTTAAATCACAATTAAACTACAAGAAGCATTTTCCCAAACGAGTTGGTGTATTCTAAAAATAGAACTGTCAAAAATTAGAGAGAACAAAAAAAATCTTTGAAACATGAATGAAATACTACCAAGCTCATACTTGAAGCCAATTCCTAATATAGATTCCACTCCTTCATGTCTCTCTTGACTACTTCCTCCAAATTAATAACATACGCAACAACTTCCAAATTCAATAAAACCAAGGTGGGAAGAAGTTATTGAAGGCTTATAAGGAGCTTATGATACATATAGAAAAAGAGTGATGGGGTTGTCACAAACTTACAATCTCCCTCACTTCATTTTCTTATGAGCTCATAGCTTGCATAGAAATCAAAAGAGAATCCCATAATTGTTATCCCAAGAGATGCATAAGCCCAACCCACTACATGTCAAGGGCCATTGCTCAAACCCAAAATAATACTCAACCAACAATCTCCCCAATATGGTTTATGTTGATTTTATGAGTTACTAGGTCGCTACTACTTTGGGCTTGGGGTGTGATAGCCACCCCCCCCCCCAAAAGTCCTGAGGCGGAAGTGGAGATGGCGGTAGTGGTGGCAGCCAGCGAAGGTGGAGGTGACAGTGGCAGTGGTAGTAGTAGCAGTGGTGGTGAGGATTGTCGTGCTGCGAGAGTAAATATAGGAGCAAAATAGTCTTTCTAAAAAGATGGGATGAAAAGGAACTGGAATTCCTTACTAAAACCCAAGTAATTAAATTCCACCATATGTGGAATCGGAACTCCGTACTAAAACTCCCGTTCCAGTTGCTTCATATTCCATCGGATTCCAACGAACCAAATGCCACCTTAGTCTCTTGAATACAAGCAATGTCAACTCTACCGCTTTCTGATAGAAACAGAAAAATGGAGAAGACAAGCTGAACGATTAAAAGATGAAAATGAGCCAAAGCTCTACAAGAACAAGGAAAATTAACGAGAGTCTGGGACTCCTCTCCAGAGAATTCTCTCCTGACAGAATAGACAACAAAATAACAGAATGATTCTTATTTCCTTCCCTCCACTACTTTTATCTTTCTCCCTAACGACCCTCCTCCTTCTTATCTCTCCTCGTGTACACTTTCCATATTATGGGCTTTTTACCCAACTGAGAGATTATGGGCTCATGGGCTTCAGCATCTGGATTCCCAACAATACCGTCTTCTGGAACTGCAGCCTTGTCCTCAAGGCTGAATTCAGGAATTTGGCTCCGCAACACATCCTCATCCACCCAAGTAACATCATCAACGTTCTTCCCTCTCCATTTCACTAAACACTGTTGGATCTGCTGCCCAGCAACTGTGATGTCTCTTGCAGCTATCAATTCCTCCGGTTCATCCAAAGTGTCCTCACCAACAGCCAACCCCTCTGGTAATGTGTTGGTAACATGATAATCTCCCACAGCCTTCTTTAATTGGGAGATATGAAATATTGGATGAACTTTCGTTGATGCTGGAAACTGAAGTTTATAGGACACCCTTCCTACCCTCGAAACAATGGGAAAAGGGCCATAATAACGTGGGGCTAATTTTTGATTAATTCGTCTTGTCACAGTCTGCTGGCGATGAGGACGAAGCTTGAGAAACACCCACTCACCCACTTTGAATTCTTCATCTTTCCGTTTCTGATCAGCATACTTTTTCATCTGCTGATGTGCACATAATAAATTATGCTTAAGTTGAACTAGAGCTTCATCTCGATCAACTAAATCAGCAGCCACTTGATCTACTCGTGTTTCCCCTTGCGTATATCGGACTAGCAACGGCGGTTTTCGTCCATATACAATTTGAAAAGGAGTGATTCCCGTAGAGCCATGAAATGTGGTATTGTACCACAATTCCGCCCATGCAACCCATTGAGACCAACCTTTAGGTTGTTCCGATGCAAAGCATCATAAATAAGTTTCCAGACATCTATTCACTACTTCTGTCTGACCATCCGTTTCTGGATGATACGAAGAACTCATTTTTAACATTGTTCCTTGTAAACGAAAAAGCTCCTGCTAATAAACATTGGGTCACGATCACTTACAATCGATCGAGGCATGCCATGTAAACGAACCACTTCCCTAGCAAAAATCTCAGCTATCTTTCTTGCAGTGTATGGATGCTTTAAGAGTATGAAGTGTGCGTATTTAGATAGTCTGTCCACTACCACAAACACAGCTTCAAACACTCCGGATTTTGAAAGACCCGTTATAAAATCCATTGAAATGTCGTCCCAAATTAACTCCGGAACAGGAGTGGCTGCAACAAACCCATAGGAGATGACGCCATATACTTCTGCCGCTGACAAATGTCACACCGCTTCACAAAGTCTTGGATCACGCCCTTCATCCCTATCCAATACACATTCGCTGCGATACGCTTATAGGTGCGAAGAAAACCCGAATGACCACCAATAAGAGACGAATGAAATTTTGTAAGAAGGTCTGGTATTACCATAGACTTAGCAGCCAATACCAACCTGCCCTTGTACACTAAAACGCCTCTCAGCAGCGTAAACCCAGGCCTGGACTGAGGATCATTTTGCAAATCTGATTTCACACATTGTAATTCTGGATCCTTATTAACCTCCGCCCGAATTTGTTGTATCTGAGACCATACCGGGAATGACACTTTTGCCTTCAATTCTACCTCCTCGAACATCCTGGATAAAGAGTCAGCTGCTGAGTTCTCTCGACCGGGTTTATAGACTACCTCGAAGTGATAATCGAGTAGCTTTGCAATCCAATTTTGTTGATCGGCAGAAGCGACTTGTTGTTGCAATAAATGACGGAGGCTTTTTTGGTCAGTAAAGACTTTAAAATCTCTTCCCAACAAGTACGGTCGCCAATGTTGAATGACCAATACTAACGCCATTAGCTCTTTCTCATAGGTAGACTTGCTAGGGTTTGTTTATGACAGGGACTTGCTGAAGTAAGCAATCGGTCGCCTATTCTGCATCAAAACAGCCCCGATTCTGCGACCGGATGCATCGCACTCTACCTCGAACGGTTGAGAAAAATCTGGCAACATCAATAACGGGGGATTAATCATTACTTGTTTCAATTGCTCAAAGGCCCTTGAAGCTTCAGATCCCCAAACAAACCCATCCTTCTTAGTGAGCTCAGTCAATGGTTTCGCAATCTTTCCGTAACCAACAATGAATTTCCGGTAATATYCGGYCAACCCCAAAAATCCACGTACYCCTTTAACATTTTTAGGGACCGGCCATTCCATAATACTTTTGATCTTATTCGGGTCTACAGATACTCCCAAATCAGAAATAACGTGCCCCAAGTACTCCACCTGTTGCATTGCAAACACACACTTCTCTCTATTTGCCACAAACTAATGGTGTTGTAGAATTTCTAAAACCGTGCGTAAATGACCAAGGTGTTCCTTCCAGCCCTTACTATARACTAAGATATCGTCAAAAAAAACTAAGACAAAGTGTCTAAGATAAGGTCGAAAAACCTGATTCATCGTAGACTGAAAAGTAGCAGGGGCATTCATCAARCCGAAGGGCATAACSAGAAACTCATAGTGGCCGTCGTGTGTTCGAAACGCGGTTTTACCGATATCCTCCTCCTTTACCCTTATTTGATGGTATCCAGACTTCAAATCTAGTTTAGAAAAATACATAGCTCCATTTAACTCATCCAATAACTCTTCAACCACAGGAATGGGATACTTATCAGGGACAGTTGCCTTGTTAAGTTCCCTGTAGTCAACACACATTCTCCAGGTACCATCTTTTTTTTTAACAAGGATCACGGGACTTGAAAAAGCACTCGAACTTTGCCGAATGATCCCTTGTTGTAGCATTTTTTGCACTTGTCTTTCGATTTCATCTTTGTGGTGGTGTGGATAACGATATGGGCGTACACTAATCGGACCTCCTGTCCCTCGCAACTCGATGCTATGCACCGTTTCCCGCCGTGGAGGTAAACCCAACACCTCTCGGAATACACCATTGTACTGTTCCAGCATCATATCGAGTTCTTGTTGTTGCTGCCTATTTAATTTCTGTACACCCGTAGACGTATCGGTGCCTTCTCTAGTCATTATAACACTTTGAAATGATGTTGTCGCAGCCCGTTTCCCACTCCACAGGTTTCCCGAATCATTTGCCTTGCCACCGGTCAAAGTTACCTCCTCTCCCTCCGCAAGGAAACTGATAACCCTTTCCTTCCAATCGAAAGTAACATTCCCGAGTCTTTCAAGCCACGATACCCCCAAAATCATGTCGAGATCACCCAAATCTAATACGTAGGTATCCACCACCGTTCTGAATTTTCCAAATAACAACTCCACCTCCTTACATTCCCCCTATGTTAAAACACGGTGACCATCCCCTAACCAAACCCCTAAATTTTTATAAGGGTCTACTGTTAATTCCAGTGCGGCTGCTACCTGAGGAGACACAAAATTATGACTGGCTCCACTATCAATTAAAACTTCTAGTGGAATTCCTTTGATCGTTCCCTTAACGCGAATTGTTTTAAGAGATTTCGCATTTCGACTTTCTGCCCAAGCAAACAATCCAATTGACTTGCATTCTAACATTTCTTCACCTTCTCCTTCTTTCAGTTCTACAGCAATTACCTCTCCTGCCTCGTTCAAATGTTCATCATCGCCCAAAATTACTATCCGTAGTTGTCGTTCCGCACACTGATGAAGTGGGTGATAACGCTCTCCACAACAAAAACACAAACCCTTTGCCTTTCGGTCCATGAGTTCGGCGTAGGGTAAGTGTTTGAGTCCCCGGTTTCTCTCGTTCTCCTTTCGATCACCTGGTACATCTCGTAACGGCTGAACTAATTGTGGCGTTAGCTGAGGCTTCGTGAAATTAGTTTTATTCAAGCCCACACTACCCCCAACAGGCCCTGGCCCATTACTTCGTCGGCCCATTGTTGAATCACTGGTCGATCCATAACCAATTTTTACGAACGACCCAACTCCACCAGTTCGGTCTCCGTTCCAAAGTCGTGTGGATACACTCCTGGGAATTACAGCGCCTTGCAGTTCCGATTCTACATCTCATGCGATCTTCATTGCTTGAACACGATTTATAGGGTTGAAAGTGCGAACCCTCAACCTTATATCAGATCGAAGCCCTCCAACGAAATAACCTAGATATTGCTCTTCTGGAAGACGACTTACCTGAGACGATATATACTCGAACTCAGTGATGAATTCGTCTACTGATCCCGTTTGCATGAGGTCTTTCAATTCCTCAAAGGGATTATCACTTTGTCTTCCCACGTACCGTTCAATCAAAGCCTGTTTGAATCCCTTCCATGTGAGGTTCTCTTCATTGCACTCAACAGGTTAAACCAGTGAATTGTTGCCCCGTCCATACTCAGTTTTGCCAACTTCACCTTAATATTTTCAGGAGTATTTTGCGCATCAAAATAGATCTATGCTCTAGTAATCCACCCTACTGGATCTTCCCCATTGAACATAGGCAATTCCACCTTCTTCACGGCCATACGGAATTCTGTCAATCGATCATCCACCTTGTTAACAACCGGCGGTGTTGTTTGTGGCGGTCGTTCTAGCAACTTGACTAAATCTGCTAACATCGTCTCCCTGAATTCAGCCAACGAGCGCTGAATGTTTTCTTCCATCATCCCTACTGCTTCCTCCAACGCCTCTACTCGATCACCCACATTGGTTGGCTTTGGTGGCATCTTCAGATACGCTGGTTCCCCTCGAAGAATCCGGCAGGTCGGACCAATTGATAGAAACAGAAAAATGGAGAAGACAAGCTGAACGATTAAAAGATGAAAATGAGCCAAAGCTCTACAAGAACAAGGAAAATTAACCAGAGTCTGGGACTCCTCTCCAGAGAATTCTCTCCTGACAGAATAGACAACAAAATAACAGAATGATTCTTATTTCCTTCCCTCCACTACTTTTATCTTTCTCCCTAACGACCCTCCTCCTTCTTATCTCTCCTCGTGTACACTTTCCATATTATGGGCTTTTTACCCAACTGAGAGATTATGGGCTCATGGGCTTCAGCATCTGGATTCCCAACACTTTCTTAGCACATCAACTAGCTTGATGACTTCCACTCAAAGTTCCTACATTCAAGCTCCTTATTCGTACCCTAAGATTTACCACTCTCCTCCCATCTTCGCCACCACTCCCCCTCGCCTCCTAACTGAACATGACCTCAATAAACCATGATCTCCACTACAATCTATTGCAACAACTCACGCAGGTCCAACCAGACCACCCACAACAACAAAAACCTAACCCCTAACACCTACAGCACTAACCAAAGCACTACGACTCTACGAGACTATTCAGGGAAAGGACAAAGGTAACACAAATACACAATTGCACCAAATACAATAAATACAACAAACAATACTAAACCAAATGTACCCAAGAATAGCCTATCATGTAATTAGATGCAGAACAATGAGATAAACGGTAACCCACTACGGAAAAGATGTAAATATAGGAATGCACACAATATACACTCAATATCTCCCAGCTAATAAGATTGGCACTGACAAAATAAGCCAAATTCGAGGAATAGGCAATACAAAAACAATGAATATGCAACATTACAATTCAACTATGCCTAATACACTGCCCCAAATATGCCTACAACAAATTTTTTTTTAAAAGTTGCTTAAAATCACAGGATGTGTAAATCCTTTCTAGGTACCATGTGTCTTCCTGTGAGTTGCCTAATCAAGATGATAGCCTCAATTATGTATCTCCCAAAGCGCAAAATTTGTTGAGAACATCTACTTAATCAACACTATGCAAGAATTCATTGACCATGGTTGATGATTCTAATGAAAGAGTATAACCAAATGAGAGACAAACTTACCAATCATGATAAACACCAATAAGCCCTCTGTCATAAATGACACCTAAGGTTGAAGGCTTGTGGTCTGCAACAACATTCATCACCCACAAAGGATCAGATACCAATGCAGCAGCAAAGCCACCAAAAAACGCATTCATATCCAGAACATTTCGTACTGCAGGAGTCCCCAGCTTCAAGTTTAATAAGTTTTTATAGTAAGAAATCCTCCTTTCCCAACGCCGTGTGTCTGCTTCAAAGACATCAATTCCATTTTTTATCAAGGTGGCTCTTGATGGAGCTTGTTTTAGTCTCTGTGGCCACTTCGGAATTGTGCCAACTGCAATTTCTCCTTTGATAGCAGACGTCTGGCTCACACATTTTTTCAATTTCGTATACCTGCATCAACAAAACATTGTTCCAAGCTTCACATAAAAAGACCATGCATGAAGAATATCTTGAAGGACAAAGAATTTCAAGTTACAATAAGATCACCATGCGGAACTGGGGTCATCAGACTCATCACACAGTTCAAGCCCAAGTTCGTTTTGGTTCTGCAGACATGAATCACCAACAGGCTTTTTCCAGATGACAGTGTTCCCATCCACAACAATTAACTCGTAGCACAATGCTCTAGTCACTGCCTGAAGATCTGCCCACTCTTTATCTTGTTTAGGCCACTGTACTGGGGGGCCGGAGATTGTTAGGTACCCACCAGGGCGAAGTAATCGATCAACTTCCATAAAATATGTAGCATCTGCAAATATGAAATGTTCCTACTATCATAAAAGTATAAGCGACATATATTACAAACAACAAGTCTAAGTACACCTACTATATGCAGTAAAAGGGATCAAACAACGAGAGCAGTGCATCAAGTCAAATGAGGACGCAGGAAAAGGAAGTCGGCGAGTGCCAAGCATCAAAACAAATGCCGGTATTCCTCTCTCCAGAGCAAACTGTATCTGTGATTTATGTGAATCTCTTGGAGCAAACGAGAGCGTCAAAATGTCTTCATCTAGCAAGTGACCTCCAAAACTAGCTACCTACAAATATATTAAAAAAACGAATTTCAAAAACTTGAGTTCGGTAAACGAAGGAAAGAGATAATACAACAACTCTTACCCCACATCCCATATCAAGAGCTGTCCTCAGGAGCCCACCAGAAATAGGAATATATTGTTTAAGTTTTGCGATATATTGTGTGGCTCCATCTGGAAACATAGTGCCACCCCCAGGAAAGATGAAGTATGGACCATCTCTTTTCATCCATCCCTGATGACCTTTCCTGTCGGCGAGTTTATTGTATGGCATGTTTTCGTGCCATATCTGTATACCAAAAGAAAAGGAGATTTCTATATTATAAGCCATGCATTTCTACACCCGTGAACTATACCAAATTGTTACCCATCAATCAAGCACCATAAAAAACAATAGGCATTTGGATCTAATGCTATTTTTAGGCTATAGTACATGTCAACAATTGAAAATTTTACTGTCACAAAAATTTTACGGTTGTGTCTGGACCAACATATATGACACTTCAGTTGGTAGTTAGCGACAGTTGGCTTTGATGGTGACTGTTGGAATAGTTGCAACGGTTCAAACCGTCGTGAATCCTAGAAACTGTCACATAACCCGTCAAATTGCAACAATTCGAAGGGCTGTCATATAAACCTATATATATCGACTTTACCACCAAAAATGACAACTTTTCTTATACCAGATTATCCTAAGAGTGTCTTGCTATAGAGTTACACTTTTTAGGCTTCTTGAAATCCTTGATCACTCAATAGTTCGACCGGGATTATCACCACTAGTGCGGTGTTGATAGTCAATCTACATATGTTGCTTCATTGTATCTTGAGAAGTGATTCGTGAAATCCCCAAGCACTTACGGTGGGGGCGAAATTACTTTAAGGATAGAGAGTTCATTCACCTTGAAAGCAATTAGTAGTAGTTATCTCTTATAATTTCTAGCCTTCTAATAGAACCCTAAAACCAACATGTACACCAAAAGAAAAAGAGATTTCTATATTATAAGCCATGCATTTCTACACCCTTGAACTATACCAAATTGCTAACCCCATCACTCTAGCACCATGAAAAACCATAGGCATTTGAGCCTAATGCTATTTTTAGGCTATAGTACATTTCAACAATTGAAAATTTTACTGTCATGAAACAAACGAAGTGCAATTTTTCCATTATAAATTCTCGAAGCATTGAGGAGATCAACTCTAGGGCTAGAAACAATTTATAATTGCAACCGCATCATAAGTGTCAAGATACACTACACCGAGAGCTTCTAATTTTTTTGGTGAATTGCTAATTTACTTAGAGGAACAGCAAGCATACAACCAAACAGCTTAAACATGGACTATTCATCAGATAAACTTGATGACAAGCCTGACTTGGACAATAAACTCGGCATTCAAAATTTAAATTGATTGCTTTTTGATCATGAATGAGAAACAGCAAATTCTCAACAAAGTAATCTGCAACACTTTAATAAGTATTAACACAAAAAATAGTTACTTCATTGAAGACTATGAAAGAAACGAAAGTACGGTGAAACAATGTGCTGGGGCCTAGGAGAACTGCAATAAGATAGAATAATATGAAATAGATCGACTGCAAAGATGATGAACGTCTATTCTAAAAGCTTCAGCTACAGAGATGATTAACAGGACACAGATCAAACTACATGTCATAAACGATAAACCCATAAAATCTTAGATCCAAGGCACAAATAAAGTTAACTCATATGCTATGTGGCTCAGGCCATTGCTATCATCCACCATTTGGAGCATATGACCCGAGGCACGAATAAAGTAAAATCATATGCCATGCAGCTCAAGCCAATGCTATCATCCACCATTTGGAGAATATGATTTCCAGAGCCATGGCAAGCCTCCTACTCCCCAAAACAGGTACACGTGTTCTCTAACATGGCTAGGAACAAGAAATTTGTCAGAAGAAAACAGCAATTGGGACAAAGAAGCCAAACTTTGATTCCCAAAACAGAAGCCAAACCTTTACTGATTGCGACATTGGATCTATCCAATTTTTGAAGGGATAAAAGGTTTCAATTAGCAAATTTAGTAATGGAGCACAAGAGAAGTACAACATCTTGCTACGGAAATTGGAATACTGCCAAATTGTTATCGGTGGCACCCACCTGAACCAAATGCAACTTGAATTCCTATCAGTACAACGTTTCAACCTTGTTTTACCTAGTGCACTAGGTATATCTGTAGAGAAAGACCTTTCACTCAACGTGCAAGATTATAGTGTGTGTGGGTATTTTTGCTGTGTGCTACCCTATAAAACACCTAGATTCAAACGGCCCCATGCATACCCCCCTTCAAATACCTATCAGTTCAGCTCCTCTTGTAAAAATAAACAGATAGATACTCATAAGAACTCACTCAAACATAGGCCCTTCAAATTCAAGCACTTCATGATCCACAATAACTTCTTCAGACAATGCAAACATCTTTTAACATGATCAAAACCCACCTTATTAATCTTCATAGTGCGACATCTTACAACTTATGATATACTTTTACTCAATAGGAACAGCAAATGTACCAACTCAAGCAACAGTTTAACAAAATTATCTTGTTAAACTTGTTAACCCTCCAGTTCAAATCTAAGATACAAGAAACTTCGAATATAATTCTACAATATCAACAATTAGAATCAAATAAGCAGCAAGCAAATATTTGCAAACTCAAATTTACCTTATGCAAGCTCTCAGGCCATTGAATCGGGACATGATACCCTTGAGGTGGAGGGATCAAGCACAAGGGCGTCTCATCTGGAGACGGACAATGCCTCTCCCGATAAAAATTCATCTCCCTACTAAGCTGACTGTTACGGGTCGGATCCTCACAAGGCATGTAATCCACAGTGTCGGCAGAACATGATTCAATTTCAGGGTGTTTGCCGGCTTCAATCAAAGCAACAAGTTGTTGGCGTTGCTTGGGATCGGCGGTGGCGGAACGAATCAGAGCTTGGCTACCAGAGGCGGCAAGGGAATCACCAAGAGGGGTAAATATGAGGAGGAAAAAGAGGATGACGACGGCGAAGAAGACCATGGATACGAAGTCAAGAAGTTGCCATTTTCGTGTCGGATTGTTGCGCTGCTTGGGTGAAGTGAGATTGATATGCCCCATTATGATGATTGATTGTTACAGAAATCAGAAATCCCAAAACTATAAACTGCAGATTAAGAAGTGTAGAATCAAGATCTGATCATATATGAATGGATTGAGTAGATTTAGTGTGTGAAGTCAGTGTGAAAGAGGAGGAAGAAGAAGAAAAAGCGTTTCTGAAGCAAATGTCGATTTTTCTGTTGATGTGAATGTGATCTATGGAAATAAATGTAGTAATAAACCAATAATAATTAATAACAAAAATACTAGATACTCTAAATTAACTCAAGAGTTATGAATTAATATCATAGTATCTCATTAATAACAAAAATACTAGATACTCTAAATCTCCTTGTGGACACGAAGGTTTAAATGCGGTGACTCCGGGCTATCTGCAAAGCAGGTGGTCGCACTGGGATTAGTCGACTCGCATAGCGGATTGAATATTCAGGTTAATAAAATATATATATATATATAATATATATATATATATATCATAGTATCTCATTAGTTATTGTTAACAAATACATATATTCACTCCAAATCTTACTAAAAATTATGACATTTGAACATCATAAATTACAAAATATTGTATTTTTTGGATGAGTTAGTGGGATCGTAAGCAATTCGAACATGTCTTTTTAACATATTTTGCTTGAAGTCAGCTTTTATGAAGTGTTAAAGACGTGTGTCGGTTGGTATAGAACGTAATCAACGTATCTTGCTTTTTTTTAACGATATTATGGTGTCTCTTTTGATAGAGGGTAAGGTCATTGTTCGTCAATTTTAATAATGTAGTTGGGTTTAAGTAATGTTTGAATTTTTATGAACAAACGAGGGAGATATGAAAATGATGAAGTGATCTAAGTTTTCTTGTTCGTTTTTCTTGTAATGTAACGTAACAAGTTTACGATTGAATGAAACAACGTAATTATATGATTGTAAAAGAAAATATATACGATTCACATGTTTTTATAATCATATCACTCACATTTTTTATAACGAGAGTTATCTAAGCCAGTTCATATGCATTTTTAGTTCATACATATTTCACTTACTCTTGGCCTCTTGGGATATGAAATTAACAGTCATATAAACCTTAACCAATCTAAAAGAACTCAAATAGTTGACCAATAAACCCAAATATCCTCTGCTTCTTAAAGAAATCAAATATTTCTTGAGAATCCTACAAGAAATATAGATAACATTAATTTGATTTATAAAACTTTTTCTGTTGTAGAGGTTGTTTGTTTACTTCTTAATAATTCCATTAAGAGGCAACCTCTGAATCGTTAAAATTGTGAATCTTGTTTGGCAAAAAAAAATCTCCCTTTTAATGGTTATAAAACCCTCTGAATGATTTTGTATCATGGATATCCCTTAACCATTAAGAGCCTTAATTTCATTGTACACAATTATCAAACAATTATATTTCATTTTGCATTATATCATAAAAACCTCTTAATCATTCTGTACCAAACCATTCAGCAATTATCAAACAATCCCTTAATAAACAAAGTAAAATAGACGGGTCGGATAATGATTGAAAACGAATTAAAGATCAAACCAATAATATTTTTGTGCGTGTTAAAACGGGTCGGGCGAGTTTGACCCGAATATAATGTAAATTCAATTTAATCATATAAACAGAACTCTTCCTAAGATCATGCAATACATAAGTCCATCCAAGAACCCTAAAATACCTCTCTTGGGTTTTTTTTACAACATTAACATGACCAATAACAAGAACCCTAAAAACCAAACACCATAAATTTGCATTTTGCTTCATATTCCCAATAAAAATATGAGCTCTGTTTGCAATTTATGGGATTTAAATCTTCCTTGATGCCTTGAGGTTATAATCATGTTTGATAAGATTTGCCCTCAGCAACATGGCCCTAACATCTCGATCGAACTCCACCCCAGTCTGCAAAACTCGCTGGAAAGTAGCTTTCCTTTGATCTGCATGCCGAGCGTACAGAATTTTGTTGTGTGAGTCGATTCTGGCCTGCAAGAACAAGGCTCGATGGATTAGTATGTAAGCTCAATATTTTGTTGCTAGGGGTCCGTTCAAATAAGAAGGCTAAATATCATATGTGAATCATTGGGAAAATCGGGGGAAATCTATTTGAATATGCATATGTTAACCGCCGACGTTACAGATTATTCATTTGGGTTCACATATGCGTCTTCAAATAGATTTTTTTTTAATGATTCACATATCATATGAACCTTCACTTCTTACCTCTCACGATATTTCTTCTTATTTGAACCTCGCAATATATATATATATATATATATATATATATATATATATATATATATAGGGGGGCTTCTTTTGAGAACTATGAAATTGTGATAACCTTGAGAACTAATGCATTATGTGCTATTTCATAGAATTTTGTTACATCTAAGAGTAGGATTCGTAACATTGATTAACATATATTTGTTTCATAATGTGAACCTTTTTAACTTGTTTGTGAAACAAAAGTTACACGTAAAAAGGTTTCACATTGTGAACTGTGTACACTTGAAGCAAACGCTATGAAACAAATATATGTTCATCAACACGAAAAAATTCATGTGAAACAATATCTCAAGATAAAAGATCTAATGGTTATCGGAGTTATCAAATGATTAAGCCCCTATATATACACACACACATATATACATACATATATATATACATATTATGTGTGTGTGCACAACAAAATCAACACAAGCAAGTCCATTATATAACACAATGTAGGGTTAGGGGTAGGATATACACAGATCTTGCCGATAATCTGATATTGTCTAAACAACTTATTTCCTGGATTCTCATTGTTTCTACCATCAGAGCTCTCTTGAAGGTTTTTTTAAGGGAGCTCTCTTGAAGGATTTTTAGAAGGAGATCTCTTGAAGATTTGTACAAGTAAGATAGCTATTTTATGGAGTGATTCAGTTTTCTAATCATCATACTTGGTTTTTTGTTACAAATATGCAATCATTTTTAAGTGCAAGAAAAAACACATGCGGACAAAATATATTGAATACAATAATTTTTTTACATTTACATTTCCCTAACTTATCCAAAATGTCCATATTTGCAAACTGTAGTTCTACTTTTCGCATTTTCAAAAGAATGTTGGTTACTTCTGTCCGAACTCTTACCATAGAAGGAACCATGCTGATTGTCTTTGACGTACTACCAAATTCAAAAAATATACCAAGAATCCTACAACAATTGTAGATACGGGTCTGCAACTATTTTTGTGTGTGATTTAACTGATTATTGTTCCTAAAGGGTTAGGTAGTTGATGCCATCAGACCATAGGCCTCTCAATACATGGACATTTATATAGATGTCCAAATATAATTCCTAAATGAACACTAGCATAAATCTTTCAGAAGTTTTCTAACAGGGGAAGAAGCTAATTTATTACCACTAATTGTGAGGAAGCTTTGTTGAACATGCTAGATGTGAATTTGCTGTGACAAAAAATGATTTGCTTATAATTTACGATGTTGTTTGACATGCTAAGAAGAGTACCTGTATTTGATTGTCGGTAATTAAAGCCTCGAGTTCTTTTTGTAGCCCTGCTACAGTGGTTTTGAAAGCGTTTGCCATCATGTTCAGATCAACAGAAACAAACGGATGAGTGTACTGGATGAGGGCTTTGTTACGGATTTGAGTATACAGCATCTCCACATGGTCATGCAAATGGATGTCGAGTAGCAGGTTCGCTTTAAGATTCCCAAGGTAGTCCAAACATGAAGCATAGTGGCTGCATCAACAAGGAAAAACAATCCCTTCAATACAGAGGAAAAAACAAAGAAATTGTTGAAGCACCGCAATCTTAAGTTGATGCCTTCACAACATTGGGAAAATAGAAAAGATATATTAACCATTCCTTAAACAACTCTTCTATTGGTTTCCAAAACCTATGCCATTTTTGTGGAAAAAAGCTACATATAAAGAATATACATCATAGTATCAATATTAACAGCACGTCTTTGGGATCTTTTTGTATATCTAATAGACATGAAAAGTTAGAGGAGCCACAACGGGAAACCCAGATCTTCCAAAAGAACAATAAATTAATATACCTTGAATAAAAATCATGGATAAGCTCCCTCACTTCAGGCACCAACTCTAAGAAATTACGGAAGTTGATATTGTCTATTACTTTTGCCTGCCAATCAAGAGTATTCAATTAGACTTATATATCAGGTATGTAACACCATCAATTAGACAAATGATAACATAATAAACTATAAAAGATAGAAATGCCTTTAGCTCTGCACGGTCAAAACTCGCAAGTGCACAAAGTCCACCATATGTTGCAACATCTTGAGCAGCAATAACTTCTGAGTAGTTGTTCCCCAATTCTGGAGCTGTTTCCAAAAACTGCAAAAACACCAATGAGGTTATATGTGAAATCTAGATGATGATAAATAACATAATATAACTAAATAAATGAAACAAACAATTCATCCCTTCTACGATTAATCAACTAACACGGTGGTCTCTTTTGCTCAAAATGCTAAGTCTTAGATGTCCCAGCATTAAGGATACTGTGGCCTAATTGGAGCAAAAGGTGAGAGAGGAAGAGAGAGGACTAATTGACAACCACAGCACCTTGATTGCTAGTTGGATTATTCTAGAGTAAAATAAGCATGAAAAGTCATTGATCATCAAGTCCGCTACAAAGAAAGTCATGGCCGTTTTGATTTGACAAAATGTCTTTGAGGGATTGGGATTTTGTAGAGAATTTGGAGTTTTTAATGTGTTTGGTTTGTAGGATTTGGAATGGATTTTAATTTTTTGTAAATATATGTTTGTGTTATAAATAATTTGTTTGTTTGGAGGTGATGAGAAATTAGGGCAGGTTTGATGAAAGAGGCAGGGTAAAGATGAGATGAAAACAATTAAAAATCCATGAGATTTGGATTTGAAATGACAGCCATGTCCAAGGGATTTCTAAATCCGTCAGTTGTGGGATTTCAAATCCAAACTCTCCTTCAAACCAAATACAGGATTGGAATGGAATTCAATTCCAAATCCAGCAAACCGACTGGGCCCTAGAAGATCAAGCTTTAGAGCCAATTGTTTATTTACCAGAAAAAGAAGCTGGAAATGTAAAGAAACGCTCATATAAACTTGAAGATGAACATTGGTATTGGTCTAATCAGCATGTGTTGTTACTGTTGTAAATTAAGTACATTTAAGGCCGTTTACTCTACACTTACCGAGTAGGTGCTTATCGATATCACTTACCTTACCGATTGAGCAGGACTGAGAATCTTACCTGATAAGAGGCATAACAAGGAGCGAGAGTCTTACCCGGTAAGTGAAGGAGAAACTCTTACCCAGTAAGAAGCTTACCAGGTTTGAGACGCTTACCAAAAATCCATTTTGATGGCCGAGAATATTACACGATAAGATAAGTGAGGCTGATGTCTCTTGCTAGTAAGCGCTTATCTGGTAAGCATTTGGCAAATAGGCCCTTAGTTTCTCCTTAAATAATGGAATCACCCTCATCCAAGAAAGATTATAAACTACAGTTCATAGTGATAGCCTCCTCTGGTTATTTCATCCAATGACCAAAAGGGTAAATGTTCATGCAGCATTATAATTACTGAAATCAAATAGTAGTAATAAATAAAGAAAACCTTCCGAGCAGCATGCTTGTACTTCTTTGCCTCCAAATGAGCCAGTCCAGCAGCACACTGTAATTTTGCAATTGTGATGGGATCCAGGTCATTTTTGTTTTGTTCTGCTTTACTGACATAGCTTGTAACATGTGCAAACTGCCCCATCTCAATGCTGACCAAAATTGCGTTCAAACACATGTGTATGATGTGCTTTGCAGTAGTGCAATAGTCACGGGTGCGCACATAATTCTTAAACGCATCCCCAAGTGCACCATGAGTATAATAGAATTCTCCGAAGTCATTGTATCCCATTCTTATGCTCTCTTTAATCAAATTTGTCTGTACCAAAAGAAAAAATTAGCAAATGGCATGCAGTAACACATGTTCACTGAAAATCCCAATTACCAAAGACATCTTCAAGCATGTCAACCATCAAAAGACGTATTTTGTTACTGGATAATCATAATCTACCGTAGAATCAAAGATATCTAACCGCATTGAAATAATTGAGTTCTACCACTTACCAGTTGGTGCATCTATGTTACATGTAAAAGATCAAGTGACTGGGATAAATAAAGGTGTGTACAAGAATGATGTCACATGTGATACCCAACATTATGTGTTTAATTTCTCTTAATAAGAAATGTATAGCAGCATAAAAAGCTTCTCCAATACACAGTATAACTGATAAAATAAAAGGTTGAACCTATGATTTTAGCCTACTTTTTTCCATCTCATCTAGGAGCATTTCTTTAATCAAAATATAATAAATAAAAGTTGCTTCAATAGCACTGTCTTGACTCTAGGGGTTAAATCTTTATCAAACAACAAAAAATACATCCTTTATTTTGGGGTCATGATTTCTATCATACAACGATTACATCCTCTATTTAGGCATAATGGTTTCTATCAAACAAGAAGTTGTTGCAATCTCTATTTAGGGTTGCAATTTTTCAAACAAAGCAACCTTCTTTACAAATATAAACCATCCATAAGAAACTGGTTTCCTCACCATCCAAACAATATTGTATTGTGCCTCCTATCTTCCACAATCTTCAGATGGCTGGTTACCCCAAAGCATGAAAGAGCCTTATCTGGTAGCGACACTATACCTTAGTCTATATTCATCATTACTTACCTACTATGTATACAAGTAAATATGCATTGATGCATATACTTGCTGAAATTCATTAACTTGTACCTTTTTTACAACTTCACTAGCCCCTCAGCTCCATGATTACATATAACAATCAAACCATCAACAGTTTCCAGTTTTATCATACGACTTACTAAAACCGTATAATCCTATATTTAATTTGTTTTTTTAAATTAAAAAGTCCAAAATCTGATAGTGCTAGAAAAAGTTCACACTTTGAATGCACTAGAAAAACAAGGTTTCTGATTCTTTTCCTTCAAAATAGGAACTAAGATGGCACCAAAACTCCTAAAAATGTTACCTGAGAAGTACCAAATCCTAGACTGGCAAAATCCAAGCATAAACCTTCAGCAATATTGAATTGTCGATAACCAAAACACATACGATTAAAAATAATAAACCATCAACTTTGATAGCTATAAACAATATCTTACCCTGTAAGCATTAAGCTCATTCTCGAGCTTCTCCTTCCTCTGCTCAGCCCTACGATCCACCGCATCCATCCAACCCGAATCTGGACCGTAATTCGGACCTAATCGTCCATCGATTTTCTGAACAACTTCCCTAAATAACTGCGTATTCTCTCCCTTCTTAATCTCGTCATACGCCATTCGAAGCGCCTCTAACTGCATCGAAACATTATCACATTTGTCGGCGATAAATATCAACCTCGAAATTTTAGTACGATCGGTGTATAAGGCGGCGTAAGCCTCAATATCGAGTTGCTCGCCACTGATAATCGGTCTCCGTTGCTGCTGCTGCGACAACGCTTCACCGTCGCCGCCGTTCGAGTAGATCTCATCGGTCATCTGTCCATATGCTTCCTCCTCTGTCTCCATAATCGCACTCGTAGGGTTTCGTTACAAGAAGAGGTTTCGTTTCTAAGCTTTCTGTCGTCTGTTGCCCCGTCGAGAACTCTGTGTAGAGTAGACTGATCTCTACAGGCCTTCAAACGATGCCGTTTAACTTCTTGGGCTAACTTTAGTTTTTAGATGGATTAATGGCCCACCAAATTTAGTGTTTTAAAGCCGATATCTTTTCCAACTTTGGAGTTTGGAGTATGTTATGGCCAAAAACCAGTCCCCGGTCGGGCCTAATCCGTCCGAAACTTTCTCATTATCGGTTCCGGTCGAAAATGGTAGGACCGGTCAAAGTACTTCATTATCAGTTATAGGCCGTCGGTCTCGGCATTAAAAAATAAGATTTTTTTTATTTTTTTAATGATATATATTTTTAATACATTATAAAATTTACAATTGAGTCACTCAAATACACTTTAAAAATACGTTTTAATATAATTAAAATTATGTTGTCTTATAAAAATACATTATAAAATTATTTGAAAATACATTTATTTATAAAATTATTTGAATTTTCGGTCCGGTCCCATAACCGGTCTCGGTCCCACGAAACTACCAAAAACCTCAACCAGTCCCGGTTTTTGGTCCCGGACCGGGCCGATTTGGCCATCAGTACTTTGGAGATTATTAGGTACATTGATCTTGTAATACCATAATCATGATATTGGTCTTTGAATCCTTTCAATCTTAAAAATGTGGTGATATTAATTTCACCGGTTGTTTAAATGTAACTGGAATTAACACGAGTGTCAATGAGTTTCAAATTATGATGTAGTGCAATTTAGGTGGTACAGGGTGTACACTTGTATATAAAACGAATCTGATCTCGGATACGACGAAACGGCGGGGTCAAGGGGAAGCGTCTGTAGAAAACTTTTCGGGTCCAAGTTTTAAAAGACTTCAAAATTTCACTAAGTCTTGTGTGTTTCGGCTTTCGTAGGCCATCGTTGAAAGGTTGTATAAGGCTGTCACGGAAAGCCTTCAGCTGTCGCTAAAGTTCTATCAGCTGTCATTGAAGGTCCATTAGCTTATAATTGTTTGCACCGTAATGATTTGTCTTTTAATTAAAAGTACTTAGTTGTATTTTTTATGCATTTTACCGTTTAATTTATAATGAGAATATAGGCTTTGTTAAATAAATAGTTTTAGAAATGTAATAATATTGATTTATTTAGGGCAAGTATCGTCTAAAAAGATACTTTAATGTAATTTATATTTTATGGAACGCATTTTTAAAGTTCACGTTTAACGGTTTACAGTATGAATTATTTAAGAGATTATAGTTTTAAAAGAACACTACAAAAACAGGACTTTTATGACGATAGAATCCATCGAATAAGTATTTTATATTAGAAAGCTATCATCGGTGAAGTCTTGATCGGAAACGCATTTCCGACAAATACTACTCAAAATCTCTCGGTAATGCATCAGTAAAGTAATTAATTAAATATATTTTTAAAAGTAAATATTGCAAGTTTTGGACGGATAATCAAGTTCTACCGATAACATATCAGCTTTAGATGCAAAAAAATGGATTTCAGATGGCAACATTTACCAGATTTCCGGCAAAATCTTGTACCGGCCAATTTGGGGCAATGCCATTTGCCAACATTTTTTTGACAATATCTATCAGATCATCGACAAGACTAGCACGAGTGAAATGGGAGCAGCTAGATTAGGGTTCCGCTCTATTGACTAGCGGGATGGTGAGTCTACCTACACGGCTGGACGCCCGGCTCTAGACGAAGCTGAGGGGGTTACCACCACATCCATTTTTCTTTCTCGAGATTGAATTCCAATCTCAGGGATTCGCTACTAATGCTCCTGACGACTAGCTTCTACCGCTAGCGCTTGGACTTGGTGGCTCGTCCGTGATAACTTCTTCGGATTTGCGTGCCTTTAGGGGCCGCCACGTATAGCTTTAGTTTATGTTGTAGCATCAAACACTCGCTAAGCCCCTATTGATGGAGACCGAGAACTTGGGGGTGGGCAACTGGAGGAAGACAGCACGGGGCAAAGCAAAGGGCAGAGCTTCGAATGACTTTTTTTTTTGCTCTTCGGCAGCCCGTCACTCGAAGCTCCTCTGTCGCGCCCTAGCCGAGCGGTCATAAACCGTGAAAATGGGGTTGTGGGAAAGCAATACAAGCGTCATGCTACTAGGTGAAGCAGTAGAATGTTGCACCCTAGATGGTGAAAGTCCAGTAGCCGAAAGCAGTGCTAGTTTACGCTCTGACCTGAGTAGCATGAGGCACGTGGAATCCCGTATGAATTAGCAAGAACCACCTTGCAAGGTTAAATACTCCTGAGTGACCATAGCGAAGTAGTACCGTAAGGGAATGGTGAAAAGAACCTCCCATAGGGGAGTCAAATAGAACATGAAACCGTAAGCTCCCAAGTAATGGAAGGAACCCAGGGCTTTAAGTCATAGTTCATTAGTTGAGGGTATCATTAACCATTTTTTTGATACAAGAAACTTATCATGAATCCACTAATTTTTGCCGCTTTCGTTATTGCTGTTGGATTGGCTGCAAAGTTGCTTCTATTAGACCTAGAGTTGGTCAAGGTACTGCTGCGGATTAAGCTGTAGAAGGTATTGCGAGACAGCTCGAGACGGAAGGAAAAATACGAGGTACTTTTATTGCTTAGTCTAGCTTTTATAGAAGCTTTAACAATTTATTGTCTGGTTGTAACATTAGCACTTTTATTTGCAAATCCTTTTGTTTATTATTATAAATATGAAAAAGTTTGATTTTTCATGTTTTATTGCCTTGGACTTGTGAACCGTTGTCGATAGATTTTTGTTGGGACCTTTTATTAACATAACATGTGTTACTGATGTTGTCTTTACTTTCTTGTGTAAATACGCATTTCTCTATTTACTAGTCTATATTTGGATGTCATTTTAAGAGCAAGTTTTTAACTAAAATATCTACTTTGGAATTTTATTTTTCTAAAAGCAAGGTTTTAAAAATTGTTAAATGCATAAAATAACAATCTATTTTCATAAATTTATTTATTATAGTATTATACTTTCATTTTTCTTTGTTATAACAATTTACTATCAATTTATTTTTATTTGAACATTGTACCTTGAAAAATCTACCCAATATAATAATGGGTAAATTGTTATCTTTTAAAGTGGTTAACTCCTTACTTTTTTTTGCTTACTTGACTTAAATGAGATCATGTTGATGACATATCATTTTGATAAGATGACCTAAATAAATAAATAAAACCTCTTTCAAATTATTTTACGGTTTTCTCACTTTTCCTTTCGACAATTTGAAAACCCCTTCATATTTTTGAACTTTTTTCTTATTAAATTGTATGCAAATCCAATATTCCTTCAAATTAATTACTTTTCCGGTAATTACTCCATCGTTTTGAAACCGACATCAAGCTTTAGTTATTCCTTCATTTATTAATATGTAATGTGTAACTTATGAATTGTGTGAATTAATGAACAATTGTTATATATGAGTAGTTTATGAACATTGTTCACCAATGAAAGTATAACATATATAAAAAATGTTCATTAGTGAACACATACCTGAATGTGTACGTATATGTGTCTAGTGAACAATGTAACTTCATCATAATATGTTAAACACACATACAAATTTCATTTGTGAATGACATATATCATAATATGTTAAACACACATACAAATTTGAAAAAAGCCAGATTTTAAGAACAATGTAACTCCCGTATTTTGTAAATATATTCTTACTAATTTCCTCCACTTATTAAATATTCAGTAAACTCTTAACCATGAACCAATATGGATTCCTTTTGGATCAGTTTGGTTTCTAAAGTTAACACAGGAGATAAGGTTAATAAAAGATAACACCCCTATATCATGTGTGTGTGTGTGTATATATATATATATATATATGTATATGTAAGTTGGGTTTCGATGTTTATATATATATGGTTAGTGAAGTAATGGATAAAAGTATAAAGATGTACCTTAATTTCTCGGATATTGCAAGGTGTTTATATATGATAGAGGCATGCAAACAGTCTCAAAAAAATATGTTGTTAATAATTATACCATGAACAATTAATCGGAAAAATTCAAGCAGACATCAAATAAATCAGTTTAGGCATTGTTCGAAGAAAAAAAAAAGTTAGCTAGTTTGTTGGGTACATGCCTGAATAAACATAAGCTAGATTATTGATAAGCTAATTGTCATTTTTTCCAATTATAACTCTGATTAATATTAATTGTTATATGTTACTATAAATTAAGATAAATATTAATTATTCATAAAATATGAATAAAAATAATTATTACTAATATTAAATTCAATTAGTAACTAATTTTATTTATACATTAATATTAATTATTTATAATTATGTCATCTTTTATGAGTTTCTTGCCATAGATATTGAGACACGTTTTGAGACATGACATTTTATTTGTTGAAATCAATTACATTCTTGTAATCGAGTGAGTTTCATTCCACTATATGATTAGTTTGGAAAGTATATGGTAATCATATATTCGATTTTCTTTTTCAGGAGATACCACAATTCTTGGGGGTTTCTAGCTAGTTAACAGTATTCTCTCATAAGGTTGTGACTAGTGTATTGTCTCAAAATTCTATTTGTACCTTAACAATCAGTTTTTTGGGCCAATAGGGTTTGATGGTTTTTACATATTTACTTTTGTTTTTCTAAACATATCTTATGGTTATCAAACTCTTCTGAGTCCAGTATGTTGTTATAATGGAAAATATATGATTTTTATGACAATGAATTATGGTTTATAAATTATAATCATTACTTTATGCATGAAATTTCATCATCATAACAATACTTTATCACTATTTCAAACTTAATTATATTATTATATATTATATATACTGTGAAAAAATATTTTTAATATTTACGATTTATACTTTTATAGTTATTTATTTATATATATATTATATATTTTGGGGTTATGCTGTCCAAATTGCACTGTATAATATGTTTTGAATTAATATGTTCTTGGGTTTTTTTGAAATATATATATACATGTATTAATTCAACCTTAATCTGA